GGAACACTGCTAAATGTAACGTTAAGTGTTCCAGAGTTGCTTCCCCTTTCTAGGAGTTTGCACTTTGTCTACGATCTAACGTGAACACCTTGTGCGATGACAATGAATTGTTAATGGTTATATTAATGAGGGCGTACTATGTTTTCTTATTTCCTCGTTCTATACATGCATAAAGGAAATATGAATGAAATGCAAACGTTTGTACATTTATAAATTGAAATCTCAGTTATAATTCATTGGTGATCCAAAGATACTGTTTAAAACCTATATGATCTCTATATGATCTTAATTATTCCATCAAAGTAAAGTTCATGTTTTAAACTATAGACTTTGTGATATTGAGTCTATAATGTCTAACAAAATCATTAGTCTTGTTAATAGCTTTCAAGAGAAAATAACAATTACCACATATTAAAGAACCATATAGCTGTTCATTTTAGCGGCATCAGTTTTGAGCAATATTTTCAATACAATCGGTCAAGAAATCTTGTTTGACACAAAAATTAAGATTGTTGCTTAAAAGGGGTCGAATTAAATTTAATTGGAAAGAATAGAAGCCGAATAAATATGTACATAAAGAAAAAAATCAGATCTAACGACCGACTACAAAACTAGCAGCTTCCAACCTTCACAGGGCTCTTTAGGTCTATTTTAATAGGACAACATCGTGACGTCACAATTACGTAAAATCATACTACAATAGTAAAACAACGTCAAAATTTGGACGAGATTGGTGGACAAACTAGCTCAAAATATATTGTGGCCTGTTGAGACTAGGTTTTAACATTTTGATGAAATGGTGTAAATCAAAGTAAAGAGCTTGTAAAGATCACTTTTATATGTATAGTGCACACGTACAATACAGCGGGTCTAAAGTGTTCCGAACCACGTGTATAATACAGCGGGTCTAAAGTGTTCCGAACCACGTGTACAGCGAGTCTTCAGTGTTCCAAACCACGTGTAGAATACAGCGGGTCTACAGTGTTCCGAACCACGTATACAGCGGGTCTATAGTGTTCCGAACCACGTGTAAAGCGGGTCTGCAGTGTTCCGAACAACGTTAACGTGTAGAATACAGCGGGTCTACTGTGTTCCGAACCATGTGTAGATTAGAGCGGGTCAACAGTGTTCTGAACCACGTGTATAATACAGCGGGTCTACAGTGTTCCGAACCACGTGGACAGCGGGTCTACAGTGTTCCGAACCACGTGTAGAATACAGCGGGTCTACAGTGTTCCGAACCTTGTGTAGATTAGAGTGGGTCTACAGTGTTCTGAACCATGTGTAGAATACAGCTGGTCTACAGTGTTCCGAACCACGTGTAGAATACAGCGGATCTACTGTGTTCCGAACCACGAGTAGAATACAGCGGGTCTACAGTGTTCCGAACCACGTGTACAGCGGATCTACAGTGTTCCGAACCACGTGTACAGCGGGTCTGCAGTGTTCCAAACAACGTTCACGTGTAGAATACTGCGGGTCTACAGTGTTCCGAACCATGTGTAGATTAGAGCGGGTCTACAGTGTTCTGAACCACGTGTATAATACAGCGGGTCTACAGTGTTACGAACCACGTGTAGAATACAGCGGGTCTTAAGTGTTCCGAACCATGTGTACAATACAGCAGGTATAAAGTGTTCCGAACCACGTGTACAATACAGAGGGTCTTCAGTGTTCCGAACCACATGTACAATACAGCGGGTCTTCAGTGTTCCGAACCACGTGTACAGCGAGTCTACAGTGTTCAGAACCACGAGTAGAATACAGCGGGTCTACAGTGGTTCGAACCACGTGTACAGCGGGTCTACAGTGTTCCGAACCACGTGTACAGCGGGTCTGCAGTGTTCCGAACAACGTTAACGAGTAGCGGGTCTACTGTGTTCCGAACCATGTGTAGATTAGAGCGGGTCTACAGTGTTCCGAACCACGTGTACAGCGAGTCTACAGTGTTCCGAACCTTGTGTAGATTAGAGTGGGTCTACAGTGTTCTGAACCATGTGTAGAATACAGCTGGTCTACAGTGTTCCGAACCACGTGTAGAATACAGCGGATCTACTGTGTTCCGAACCACGAGTGGAATATTGCGGGTCTACAGTGTTCCAAACCACGTGTTCAGCGGGTCTGCAGTGTTCCAAACAACGTTCACGTGTAGAATACTGCGGGTCTACAGTGTTCCGAACCATGTATAGATTAGAGCGGGTCTACAGTGTTCTGAACCACGTGTATAATACAGCGGGTCTACAGTGCTCCGAACCACCTGTACAGCGGGTCTACAGTGTTCCGAATCACGTGTAGAATACACCGGGTCTACAGTGTTCCGAACCTTGTGTAGATTAGAGTGGGTCTACAGTGTTCTGAACCACGTGTAGAATACAGCTGGTCTACAGTGTTTCGAACCACGTGTAGAATACAGCGGGTCTACTATGTTCCGATACACGTGTAGATTAGAGCGGGTCTACAGTGTTCCAAACCACATGTAGATTAGAGTGGGTCTACAGTGTTCTGAACCACGTGTATATTAGAGCGGGTCTACAGTGTTCTGAGCCACGTGTAGATTAGAGCGGGTCTACAGTGTTCCAAACCACGTGTAGATTAGAGCGGGTCTACAGTGTTCTGAACCATGTATATTAGAGCAGGTCTACTGTGTTCTAAACCACGTGTAGATTAGAGATTGTTTACAGTGTTCCGAACCACGTGTACAATACAGCGGGTATAAAGTGTTCCGAAACACGTGTACAATACAGCAGGTTTAAAGTATTCCGAAACAAGTGTATAATACTGCGGGTCTACAGTGTTCCGAACCTCTTGTTGACTACAGCGGGTCTAAAGGGTTCCGGACCACGTGTACCAAACAGCGGGTCTAACGAGTTCCGAACCACATGTAAAATACAGCAGGTTTAAAGTATTCAGAACCACTCTGCAGTGTTCCAAACAACGTTCACGTGTAGAATACACCGGGTCTACAGTGTTCTGAACCACGTGTAGATTAGAGCGGGTCTACTGTGTTCTAAACCACGTGTAGTTTAGAGATTGTTTACAGTGTTCCTAACCACGTGTACAATTCAGCGGGTCTAACGTGTGCCGAACCACATGTACAATACAGCAGGTTTAAAGTATTCCGAAACAAGTGTATAATACAGCGGGTCTAAAGTGTTCCGGAACATGTGTATAATACAGCGGGTCTAAAGTGTTCCGAACCAAGTGTACAATACAGCGGGTCTAACGTGTTCCGAACCACATGTACAATACAGCGGGTCTACAGTGTTCCGAACCATATGTACAGCGAGTCTACAGTGTTCCGAACCACGTGTACAATACAGCAGGTATAAAGTGTTCCGAACCACGTGTAAAATACAGCGGGTCTAAAGTGTTCCGAACCACATGTACAATACAGCGGGTCTACAGTGTTCTGAACCATATGTACAGCGAGTCTACATTGTTCCGAACCACGTGTACAATACAGCAGGTATAAAGTGTTCCGAACCACGCGTACAATACAGCAGATATAAAGTGTTCCGAACAACGTGTACAATACAGCGGGTCTAGAGTGTTCCGAACCATGTGTAGAATACTGCGGGTCTACAGTGTTCCGAACCATGTGTAGATTAGAGCGGGTCTACGGTGTTCTGAACCACGTGTATAATACAGCGGGTCTAACGTGTTCCGAACCACGTGTACAATACAGCGGGTCTAACGTGTTCCGAACCACATGTACAATACAGCGGGTCTACAGTGTTCCGAACCACTTGTACAGCGAGTCTACCGTGTTCCGAACCACGTGTACAATACAGCAGGTATAAAGTGTTCCGAACCACGTGTAAAATACAGCGGGTCTAAAGTGTTCCGAACCACATGTACAATACAGCGGGTCTACAGTGTTCTGAACCATATGTACAGCGAGTCTACATTGTTCCGAACCACGTGTACAATACAGCAGGTATAAAGTGTTCCGAACCACGTGTACAATACAGCAGATATAAAGTGTTCCGAACAACGTGTACAATACAGCGGGTCTACAGTGTTCCGAACCATGTGTAGAATACAGCGGGTCTACAGTGTTCCGAACGACGTGTAGAATACAGCGGGTCTACAGTGTTCCGAACCACGTGTAGATAAGAGCGGGTCTACAGTGTCCCGAACCATGTGTAGATTAGAGCGGGTCTACAGTGTCCCGAACCATGTGTAGATTAGAGCGGGTGAACAGTGTCCCGAACCACGTGTATGTAGATAAGAGCGGGTCTACAGTGTTCTAAACCACGTGGAGATTAGAGCGGGTCTACAGTGTTCCGAACCAGGTGTAGATAAGAGCGGGTTTTCAGTGTCCCGAACCATGTGTAGATTAGAACGGGTCTACAGTGTTCTGAACCACTTGTAGATTAGAACGGGTCTACAGTGTTCCGAACCACGTGTAGAATACAGCTGGTCTACAGTGTTCCGAACCACGTGTAGATAAGAGCGGGTCTACAGTGTCCCGACCCATGTGTAGATTAGAGCGGGTCTACAGTGTCCCGAACCATGTGTAGATTAGAGCGGGTCTACAGTGTTCTGAACCACGTGTAGATTAGAGCGGGTTAACAGTGTCCCGAACCACTTGTAGATTAGAGCGGGTCTACAGTGTTCTGAACCACGTGTAGATTAGAACGGGTTAACAGTGTTCTGAACCACGTGTAGATTAGAGCGGGTTAACAGTGTCCCGAACCATGTGTAGATTAGAACGAAAAGGGAAATGAGAATCTAAAGAACTTATCACTGCATTCCAAATAAAAATCCTGGATGCAACAGACAATGCAGAATTAAACTGGTATGTCATGTGACCGTGTCCGAACAACTTCCCTGTCTCATATTAGTCCGGCAGCAGAGTCAACTGCAACCATTTTGTTACGTTAAATATCATTGCGAAGTCAGGAATTGACTTGCTATTTCTTATATTACGTAAACAAGGCCATGCATTGACCCGTTTCTGTTGGTGTGGTTATCTAGTACAGGACGTACCTGAACAGGTGTCAAAGTTAGAACCTTCTGATAAGATCTACCGAACGCGGCCGGTCACCAGCTACCAACTCGAACGAGACAATGTATCTCAAGGAAATTCTGCTGGTTGCTGTTTTCAGCATCGGTAAGACAGAAAGAACCATTTTGATTGATTTCCAATTGCAAATGTTATCATTTAGCGGATAAGTAAGGAGTGTGGGTCGGTCACTTTTATGTCGACTATTCACGTGGTCCTTATTGAGATATAGCGTTAAGCAGAAATATCACTCTGTGGCATTCAGAATGTGGGAGTTGTTTTATGAATATCATACAATATTATAAGGCGTCAAACGAGTTTTCATTTCACACCAGTTTGATGAAACGTGTCTAGAGTATTTGATTACAGAGGGCTTTTCGTGATTTTTTTTTTGTATTTTTGGGGCATATTTTTAAAAAGCTTCACTGAAATAAAACCATTAGACCTTAATATCATAGTTTAACTACAAACAATGTACTATTAAACGTGTCGAAACGTTTCAACACCGACTGGACTCTTTGTCAAGCCGTGTATGACTCCGTGCACGTTTAGTGCGTACATTGTTTGATTTTAAAATAAAACTTTGATGTTACATTTTTCCAAACTGATGAATGTTATTGAAGAAGATTTAGCCTGGATTAATCAAACTAATAAGCGTTTTACTTGTTACTTGATTGTGTTGAACTAAAACAAAATTCAAAAATAAATTACATGTAAGAATGACTGAATAACAGTTTATACCCCCCATTTCTCCCCCAAATACTGCCCGCTCTCCTCAGATCCTCAGACTGTTACAAGTATGATTACCTTAGCTCTAATTAAGGTTGATTAGATTTAGTAACACATATGGTCAGATTGATATATAAATACGGGTAAGGTATTGCCTCCCTTAGCATGGTCCATTTACCCAGTAATAACCATTACGCCGCTTGATAAGGACACTCTCTACCAAATAAACATGCATGCTATAAATATGGGCGTACTAAAGAAACAGCAATATTGGCCTAAGGGTGCCAGTGCCTTAACCATTTACTGAGATCAAACGTTTGCGAGCATTTTTTAAAAGACAAGATAACAACTACATGTGCCTGTGTTTTGTGTGTGTATGCCATAATCAAGATAACACACCACTTCATAATTCAAAATAGTCACAGTTTGATTTGATGCAACATGATAAAATGTGGCTTTGATTGAACGCTACACAACGTCTACGTTTTAATATGAAATGCTGATAACAGAAAAACGAAATTAAACGTTAAAACATGAATAATGTTTTGGTAACAATTTATCAATAGCTGGGAACATTTATCGGTTGTTCGTGTTGATATCGATACTTGTGTTGTCCAGGGGTGATCTCCGTTATTGGAGAATGTGATATCGGCTGGGCTGAATTCAAGGAGGACTGCCTATGGTTTAGTTCGTCCACCAACACGTGGTCAAAGGCGGAGGTAAGTCTACTGACCAACATATATACTGACTGACGCACACCGACACAAAATTAAAAAAACACAATGATGCATTGTTTTATTGTTTTCCGTTTATTTATCTACTTTATTTAAGCACACCTACATGACATGTAAAAGACAATGATGTATAGTTTTATTTTATATTATTTCTTTATTTTATTTTATTTTAACGAACTGATATGAAATAGAAAACGATAATTATATACTGTTTTATTTATATTTATTTATTTGCTATTCATTTTGTTTTATTATTGAAACATTTGAAATATTAAAATATTATCCTTAAATGATCTGCGTTACCATATCTGTTACATTGTATAGTATTTATTACGGGGCGTGTCGAACGTTTCAGCGTTTGAAAATCTTATGATTTACATTCTAAATTCCGTGTCAATGTTAAACTTGTAATATATATAATGAAACTTCTTATAGATTTTTAAAATTTTGTTATTCATATCGTAAACCTTCCGTTTTTTTCCACATTCAAATTGTGACCTACCATGCATAGTAACATGTGAATTTTATGGAACACTTCTTTTGAAAAGGACTTAAACAAATAATTCGCCATAGTTACAGTGTTAAACGTATTGCCTGTCTGTATCTTTTACCTAAATACATAATATTTACATGTGCTATATTGGAAATACAGTAATTCCACTCTTTTGATTTCCTTTATCAACACTAAGAAAAAGTAATGAATATATGTTACATGTCAATGTTTTTTAACATTAATCATAAGTATTATAATAAAATATTTGAAACACAAAACATTAGATTATCAAATGTTACAACGTTTGGTGCGCCATACCTACACAACTGAATATCAATCTGTTAGTTTCATCACACGTCTACTTATTGAAATGCTTTTTTTTCGTTTTCAGGCCCATTGTAGATCCATGGGAGGTTACCTAGCAACCGACGATAATGAGGACAAACACGATTTTTTGACAGTCATCCTCAACGTCCTAAGAAGTACGTACTCTCGCCTTCCGTTATAAGTTATTAAAAGTCATAGTCAGTATCCCGTCAGCAAACCTACAGTATCCTATAGTGGCACGTCTGTCCATTGATCACATTTCTACCATTTTCCAAACGGCCAGTTCTAAATTCGTCCCCTTTAGAAGGAAGCCATTTCTGACTTTAAAACAACTAAGGATATACGCAGAGTACAAATTATAACTGTGACGTCAGAAAACAGCGAATGATATTCATAGAGTACACATTATAACAGTGACGTCAGGAAACAGATTACGGTAGTACGTCGGGTACAAATTATTACAGTGACGTCAGAAAACAGCGAATAACATTCATAGGGTACAAATTATTACAGTGACGTCAGAAAACAGCCTATTATATTGGTATGGTACACATTATAACAGTGACGTCAGGAAACAGCGAATGACATTCATAGGGTACAAATTATTACAGTGACGTCAGAAAACAGCCAATTATATTGGTATGGTACAAATTATTACAGTGACGTCAGAAAACAGCCAATTATATTGGTATGGTACAAATTATTACAGTGACGTCAGAAAACAGCCAATTATATTGGAATGGTACACATTATAACAGTGACGTCAGAAAACAGCGAATGACATTCATATGGTAATTATTACAGTGACGTCAGAAAACAGCGAATTATATTTGTAGGGTACAAATTAATATAGTGACGTCAGAAAACAGCGAATGATATTTGTAGGGTACACATTATAACAGTGACGTCAGAAAACAGCGAATGACATTCCTAGGGTACAAATTATTACAGTGACGCCAGAAAACAGCGAATGATATCCATAGGGTACACATTATCACAGTGACGCCAGAAAACAGCGAATGATATTTGTAGGGTACAAATTATTACAGTGACGCCATAAAACAGCGAATGATATTTGTAGGGTACACATTATCACATTGACGCCAGAAAACAGCGAATGATATTTGTAGGGTACACATTATCACAGTGACGCCCGAAAACAGCGAATGATATTTGAAGGGTACAAATTATTACAGTGACTTTAAATATTTGTCGAGTTCAAATTATTACAGTGACGCCAGAAAACAGCGAATGATATTCGTAGAGTACAATTTATTACAGTGACGCCAGAAAACAGCGAATGCTATTTGTAGGGTTCAAATTATTACAGCGACGTCAGAAAACAACGTCGGATACAAAATTAATAATTCATACCATGACGTTATTTTTTTCAAGAGAACTGGCTTTATCTATTGCTATATTTAACCACTGCTCGTCGTTGTTTTAACGTCGTTTACTTTTGAATCTTACGTTAATGGTTTGTTCCTGTTTGACCAGACTACCGTGCTAATGTATGGTTTATCGGAGGGACTGACTACACTTTCGAGGGTCAATATCGCTGGCTGGAGACGGGAACGCACGTAGGACCGTTCACGAGGTGGGCTCCGGGTCAACCTAACGGTACAATTGGGGAAAACTGCATAGGTATGAGGTGGGACGGGATGGACCTGCTGTGGACGGACGAGCACTGTGAAACCGTCCATCAGCCTCACAGTCACCACGCTCCACCAATCGGAAACTACTACTACATTTGTGAGAAACAGTAAGTAACTACAACGTTTCTGAAAATCAGGAAGTAACATAACGTACGATAATTGTGAGAAACAGTAATTAACTTCTTCATCTGTAAATGCCGTGAGTAAATCCGGGAGAAACGTAAGCAATCTGAAGTACGTTTAATTATTATAGCTGTGGGAAACTGTAGCTGCTAAATATGTGAAAAAATGTAATTTACGGATACATATTTGACAAAATTAAATAAACTACCACTTAACTCATATCCGCAAAAAAATGTAACTAATACTACCGAGAGAAATCACAGTAATTATTCCATCTGTCAGAGGCTCTAGTTCATGTATGATGTCCTTAAGAAACCCTATCTTTTACTTCTAAACCCCTCCAGGTGGGGGATCGGAAAAAATACACCTGCTGTTACTCAATGCATGTATTGTAGGGGCGACAAATGTGGGACCCCCCTGCAGAATTGGGGATTTGCGTATGCCTTGGTGTCCTCTATTAGGGAACACAAAGGCGACCAAAATAAATCTGCTGCGCCAATTGCATTATATGGGATCTTAATCTTTCTTTCTACTTCTAACTACCTTTATTTCCCTAGCGCCTTGCTTGGCAACACCTCACTTTTGGCCTTAATGTTGAGCGTTCGCTCAGGTGAGGAAGGCAATGGGTTCTGTCCCCGGGCCGGGACATACCAAAGTCCTTAAAAATGGTAGTTGTTATTCCCTGCGTAACGTTCAGCTTTTAGGGGAATGGCAACAACTGGTTCACCCGTTGTCAGTATAATGTGACCGGGCAGAATGATGTGCTAGGTGCATTCGGCATGGCATTTCAGTGAGATAGCACTATAAAGTAGGCATCAGATCTGCGTTATCAAGGAGGCAAGCACAACAACATACCCTGTCTCCTGCATACACACACGCAAGCACGCATACACAACACACATGGAGGCACGTCCTTAAATGACCTCAACTGTTAATAGGACGTTAAACAAAATTATACCAAACCAAACCAAATCCTGTGAGAAACCGTTACTAACACTACATACGTGAGAAACTATAAGTAATATCTTCAACTGTGGCGGTTTTCAAGAGTGTAATTTTAACAGCGTATTGCCCAGTACCAAACGGTTATTATCTAGATATCATTCCGCCATTCCTCTATACAAGTCCATCAAAGTAAGATGATCTTTACCGCTTGTTCAGCTCTGCAGGGTAATACAATTCTGCTATAAGACCAATGTTTGTAACTTGAAACTAAGGAAAATATTGTTTTGGCTTTGTCCTCTGAAATTGTTTGAATTTTACTCTTTGTTGTTCACAGTAACAACAAGACTGGGACTGCAGTGATTGGCTGAGCCTTCAGTGATTGCCACGACATGACGTAATAGAGTGACGTACTGGGTGAAATTGTACCAGTAAAAGATGTTGTGTTTAATACATTTCAAGATTAAAATTTGTACTTTTACCCTTCGGATATTCATTATTTTATTGCCTACTCAGTGTAGAATCAGTATGATATTTTTACTGCTGTGATAATATTTTCTCGGTAGTTCCGAGTAGATTGTCATGTCTAAATCGAAATGAAATTGTGACGTCATATCACAGATGGCCTCCAACGGTGCATGCATTCCTGTTTTTACCCACAGTTTATCTAAGTAAATACAGCTATTCTATTCGGATAAATGTTTGCACTTCCAGCCTCCTATGCACACGTCGTAGACTTGTGTTGTGTGGACTGAGATCAAGTTTCCAAACAAGAAATATCTACTTTGCACCGTGTATAGGCCTCCGCTCCGAACTGTACACAAGCTTTCTGTAATTCTTTTCAATTTTCTGTGGAAACAGCCTTAAATGAAACTTCATTTGTTGTAATAGTTGGCGATATAAATGTCGACCTTCTAACAGTAGATAATAATCATTCTCTTATGTATATTATGAACCGCTTCCACTTCACTAATGTAATAGACAGACCGACAAAAATTGGACGCACGCGCTGCACACTCTTTGACCCTAATTTTCTGTCGGACACGCGTATTCACACTTTAGCTGACACTATCGACATAGACCGCGATTTTTATTTAAACATATTTTTTGGATGTAGCAAATCTATTGTAAAATCTACAAACGCTGGGGTGCCACACGGCTCAGTTCTTGGTCCTCTTTGTTCATTATATATATTAATGATATAACGGACAAAATAGAGAGCCTATCGAAACTTTTTGCGGATGATGTCAGTAGGTACTTGAACAGAAAATTAACAATGATCTTTTAAATATTCAATCTTTAGCTGATAAGTGGTTGGTTAAGTTCAATCCTGCAAAAACAGAGGCAATGCTTTTTTCTAACACTGAACTGGATCACATAATTGAAATAAGTTTTAATGATGTAAGTATTGAATTTGTAGACAACCATAAGCATCTAGGAGGATTCATCGACTCAAATTGCAGGTGGAGCTATCACATAGAACAAATTAGTAAAACTGTATAGCGAAACAATTAGGTGACCCTCGTAAATTGAAATATATCCTTACTAGACGTACATTAAATAGAATATATAGATCCTTTATTCTTCCGGTTTTAGAATATTGCTGTGAACTCTGGGACGGTTGTTCCGTTGCTGATGCAGAAAGGTTAGAAAAATTACAACTTGAAGCTGGCCGTATAGCCACTGGTTTACCTTCTTATACCAGCAGACAATCTCTTTATAATGAAACGGGATGGGAACCTTTATCCCAGCGACGCTCTCGTCGAAAACTTCAATTGTTCTTTAAGATACACAATAATTTTACTGCTAACTATCTAAACACCCTACTCCCTCCTATTATTACTAATATTTCTCAGCACTATCTTCGCAATACATCAAACTATAATTTGCCTAATAACAGACTAGAATAATTTAATCTATCGTTTTCCCCCTCTATAATAAGGCAGTGGAATCAATTACCCTTAGATATCAGGCACGATGTATCATTTTCAGCTTTTAAAAATTCCCCTAGACGAAGCCTTACTACTTAATCCCGAAATACCCATCAAATAACTGTTTTATTATACCAACAACAAAATTATTCCATTTCTTTTGTAAAGATGCATGTAAACGGACTTTATCTTATTATTGTATGTGATGTAAGTAGAGATGTTCCGAAGGAACATGACAGAAGCCAAAAATTCCGCGAAAATGTGAATGCAGGTTAAATAGCTCATACCGGGTAAATAGCTCTAATGACTATTTACCTGGTAAATAGTCACTTGAAAGAGGTTATTTTGAATAGCATTTCTATTTCTACTTTTACATAAGGTGACAGTACCCAAATCGGATCACCAAACCATCATTTTATTAAATCATTGAAATATCTGAGGAGGAATTATATTCATTTATGGTTGTATCAAAGGAATATCGATGGGTGTTCTTACAAACGAAATAGCACCCGGGGCTCATTTGAGATATTTATAGAACGGTCTGAAGTCAAACAAACAGCGTCTCCGGTTTTTGCGAATATCGGGACCCAAATCGGATCAAGAATTGAATTTTGCTTCAAATGATTTTTTTTTGTCAGCATATTAACATTTTAAGATGACCTTTAGAATTCATATGACAAAAAGTATTTCCATAACGTTAGTGCAGGCAAATTCACCATGCACCCAAATTCGCCACCCTGTGACGAAAATGCCATATGACGTCATAATACATAAGATGTGACGTAAATAACGTCACCATCGTTCAAAGCCATGGACCCTCTCATCCTGACCCGATGAAAAATATAATATTGGGCAGCGATTTGGAAGTTTATATTTGTTAAGGACTGAGTCTTTATTGCGTATCAATTCATGTTAGTAAATTGACATCATCTCAGCCGATACCCGTCATCTTTCTTAAACAACATTAATCAGTTTCTTCAAGTTACCGAAAACTAACTATCAAAACTAAGAAATGCCATGTATTTCAATGTTAATCATTGTTACACACACACATTTGGAGCTGTTCGTATCAGTACAGCTTGTGTAACATAAACATATTTTTTTTACATTTAAACTCTTAGATTACTTGTAAATTAGTTAAATGTTTGAAGGTGGCGAAACTGCTCGTCGGCATTTTGATACATGCCTATTTGGTCGAATTATTTACAGAAACCCTTACTAATGTAACGAATTTGCCTTCACTGACTTGAGTGTGAATTTATTCCTATAGATGCGCCATTTTTAAAAAATATGAGATAAAAACAATGACATTTGAGTTTGAATTACGTTTTCTTGTGCTATTTGAACTTAAAAACTAATCATATGTAGACAAAAAATGGTACGTGCATGGCTATCTATTCTAAGACTACATCATTGTTATAACTGATTTGTTGACACATTTATTTATTTATAAGTACATGTATTTTTGCAAAAAGTGATCCGATTTGGGTACTGCCTCCTTAACCTGTAATAAGAAAGGTATAATAATTCAAGTTATTATGCCATAAATTTGAATGCCTCGGGGGACAATAAAAGTGCTATTTCCCTCACGCCCATACAATAACTGTATAATATCGTATATCTATGTTACAGAGGTTGTTAACTTGTGGTTGTTGTTGTTAAATCGAACGCGCCGTATTTTTCATACGGGCCTTTTTTAATTTTCCCGCCTTCAATATTCTGTGTAGTGGATTGGATACGGTCGGGAGATTGTGAGTCGGCCTGTCAAGAAAAAACTATTATAGTTACCCATCCTGGTTGACATCAGCTTGATATTTGTTTTACAAGATTATTGTAAGTATATATACAAACGGTGTACAGTATTTAATACAAAGAAGTTTTATGTCGGAATGTTTTAAACCGCCAAACTCAGCCTGGGTTTTTCCACAGGTAATAGACACAACATATCCTATGCCTATATTCTAATATGTAATTAGTAATTACATATTAGAATATAGGCATAGGATATGTTGTGTCTATTACCTGTGGGTTTTTCAACAGAAGTTTCTCAACTTTATCTTAGCCTTGGGCAAGCCGCATGTTGATGTGACACAATAAGTTCAGTGGCGGATCCAGAGGGTTTTTTTTGGCTTCAAGAAACCCCCTCACCCTGAGAAATTTATTAAAAAATAATGTATTTTCACCATTTCCCCAACATGGACCGCGGTGTATCAGGAAAAACATATGAAAATGAAAAAAAATCGCTGCTTTAGAGAAATTATGACTAGAGCAACGGAGGGTGTTATCGACAGGGGGGTATTATCGACCCCCGGTTCTATTCATCTCGTTTTAGATCGATTACGAACCGTTTATCTATACACTTACATTTTTCGGAATCCCTCGGAATAAACAAATTTTCTGAACTTTTTTTTTCCAAAGAGAAGAATCGATCCTGTTTTTAAACCTCCCTTACGGGCCCCGATAAGACATATTTGGCACTTCGAATTTTGATAACATTTTTTTCTGAAATATTTGTCACATAATGGTGTAATCCAACTTCACTCATGAAGCGTCTGCAACGTTTGTCAGCGTATTATCTACATCCGGGGTATTGTTAAGGTCGGAAATAGGCTTGTCGATAACTGCCGCAATTTGAGGATCGGAGGTAGTTATCGACAGTATGTAAAAAAAATACCAATTAATTTTTGTTTTATCCATTAAAAGCGTATTTTTATGAATGATTTGTACTTCAAAGTTGCCTGTATGATTTCAATATATATATATCGTGAATTGTGAAAGGTGAGAACATGTATGTGCCCGACAACAATATAGTATGCTAAAGTCTATCCAGTAAACAGACATAACTTTACAAGCCTAACACAGGGTTAACATGGTCACCAGATACAGTTATATAGCGATGAGTATTTTCTATGATTTGATATATATCCAGGTTTGGCCCATTGCATTTTAGTTTCTGTCCTTACTTCCTGCAATGATAGAAAACAAATTATGCATCTTTTAAAAATTTACTCGAATTTGTTCAGATATGAATTTAATTTAATCTCATTTGATACACTGTACACAATACAATACAAATACAATAAAAAACAAAGTGATTTGTTTACTTATTTTAAAATATTTCAATGAAATTGGATCCTTTGATGTTTTGAGTTGAAATGCAACCTGATAAGATATATTCTTAACCAAATTTCACTCCCTAAAACAGAGATTACATGTACAGAGGAAAAGAGTCATGAAATGCACTGTAAGCTGAATTAACCTACAACACATGAACAAAATGTATGTTTATTATATACATCTTTCCTATAAGGAGCAGGCCTTGGGAAATATTTGAAAAAAAAAAATGAAGGGTAATTACCTGTGATGTATTTCTTATTCTTAACAAGTGCTGCTTTTCCTGAATCTAGAAAGCTGGTCATGGCTCTTGTTAGTACCTGATCAGAGCATTGGTAAATTGGGTTGGTATCATATCCCTGCCTTTGCTGAGAGTGTGATAAGAAAGTTAACAAACTGACAATTACACAAACGCCTGTGCACTGTTTTGAATATGACACTATATATTTACCTCATTGTAGAAACTCGTCTGCTCATGTCTGAATGCTTCGGTTCGATATGGGTCCCTGGGGACATTGATGATGACTCGGAGACATTTATTTTCAGTTGCAGTTTTCATACGCTCTTTAGTATCACTTGAAGCTGTTTACACTGCCATTATTACTTATTTCTGAACAAAATCCATGTCAACAGTCGAGACAGAATAGCTGCAATGCTTCGAATGAAATTTTCAACGTCAAGACCTAGCGAAGCGCCGTCGTCAGTGTGATTGGTATAATGGTCACAATTCTTCCATTGTACGTAATGACCTATTTCGTTCAAGTGATGATGTGAAACTCTTGAGTATCGTTTGTTATATTTAACAAGTTGATAAGTGAGCAATATTAATGGAAAGCACACATTCTTTCACTTTCAGGCTTCATCCTCAGCAACTGTCAGTCATCAGCTGTGATGATAAACTTCCGTTCCGTTCTTATTTACGGGAGTTCAATATCACAATAAATACGGTTAGGCCAAAAACAATTTTTTGTCTGTTTAGGGTTTCTGACCGACCCTGGCTTTTTACCCCCGACCCAAAACTTTTTGAGGAACCAAAAAACCCCACCTTGTTTATGTAATTCTTTGTTTTACATACAATAGTAGGGTCATAATCACATGACCACACTGTACACAAAAATATACAAAAAAAAAAATAAGCAAAAAATCGACCTCCCTACCCTTGGTTTTTTGCCTTTGCGACCCTAAAAAAGACTCTTTTTTTTTTGGCCTTATTTAAATATAAAAAAATGTTTGCACTAGATACTTTTATTTTTCTTTGACGTTCTTAGTTATTGTTAATAATTGTTAATGGCACTTTCTAAATCAAAGTGTGGTGTCGTTAGGTTACCGTAAATTAATCCGAAATATAGCCAACATGTGCAGCTTCGTGCGCAGTGGCGATAAAGAGAAGGATGGACCCACCTTAAGAAATTATATCTATCTCCCTTTTAACAGGGAAAGAAAACAAAGGTAAAGCCCTGAAAATGAGTTGAAAAAAGTAAAAGGTTCTGTTTAAAGGGGCATCACGTGAAGAGCCATATTTTTTAGCCCACCATCATCTGGTTGTAGGCTATTCAAATCACTCTGCGTCCGTGGTCCGTCGTCCGTCCGTAAACAATTCTTGTTATCGGTATTTTTCAAGAAGTGCAGAAGGGATCTTTCTCACATTTTATATGTTCCCCTTGGTCCCTAGCTGTGCAGGGCAACTTTTGAGACTGATCAGATAAACAACATGGCCGACAAGCAGCCATCTTGGATTTTGATAGTGAAGGTTTGTTACCGCTATTTCTCGGGAAGTACAAGAGGGATCTTTCTTAAATTTTATACGTAGGTTCCCCTTGGCCCCTTGTTGTGCAGGGGTACTATTGAGACTGATCAGATAAACAACATGGCCGACAGGCAGTCATCTTGGATTTTGACAGTGAAAGTTTGTTATGGCTGTTTCTCAAATTTTATATGTAGGTTCCCCTTGTTCCCTTTTAGTGCAGCATTGCCTGAAATGGACAGTCGCTCGCTCGCCAATGGCGATTAGTGTCCTGCTCGGGCGACCAAAAGTTGTCAAAAGTGTGGTAGTCTCTCGCCCAACAAAAATAGTTTATGCGACTGTCCAAAAATGTTATGAATGAAAGAAATTATAGTCCCTTCCACAGGGTGTCTTCTTCGTTGTGCAAGTTTTATGTATTTCTTTGGGAAAAAGGCTTACTTAAGACCTGAATGAATAAAAAAAAATTGTTTTATTGTGTTTTACATCTTGCAAACATTGCCATGTCATATGTAATTTAAATGTGCTGAAGCATTGTGTTAAATGCTGTGGAAATTTTTCTTCACAAAATTATTTGGGCCACCAATATGTCATTTGTGTTTCAAATTTTTTACTTGCCCAAAATAAAATTTTGAAAAACTATTACAAAAGATGAAATGAAGTTCAATTGGCCGATTAAACTGAAACTTTGTAGGAATTATCGACTCATAGTCCTGACAAAGTGTTGTTACTTTTCGGGTCAATCAGAAATCCAATAAGGCCGCCATTTTTAAAAACTATTTCAAACTTAAAGTCAAGTTCTACTGGGCCGATTGAACTAAAACTTAATAGGAATGATCGACCCATGGTCCTGACAAAGTGTTGTTATTTTTTGGGTCAATCAGAAATTCAATATGGCCGCCATTTTGAAAAACTATTTCAAACTTAAAGTAAAGTTCTGCTAAACCGATTGAACTGAAACTTTGTAGGAATGATCGACTCATGGTCCTGACAAGGTGTTGTTATTTTTCCGGTCGATCAGGAATACAATTTGGCTGCCATGGCCTCTATTTTGAAAATAACTATTTCAATCTTAAAAACATTTTTAATAGGCTGATTTAACTGAAACTCGGTCTAGGAATGATCAGCTCATGGTCCTGACAAACATAAGTTAACGTTATACTTAACAAATTGGTACATATTTCAACAACAAAAATAAATACTGTAGTACTCAGGTGACCGTTAAGGCCCATGGGCCTCTTGTTAAAGTTTGTTACCCAATGTAGTGCATTTCAACTTTGACCCCTACCGAAAACCGGAAGTTGACATTTTTTGTTAAAATAGGAACAGTAACTTCAATTTGAAATGGCTGATATCCCCAACTTATAACCTTATACTCGAGGCTTAAAGATGGTATCAAATTGTAAAATTGGGATTCCTGCCCCAACCCCCAGGGGCGTGAGTGGGGCTCCAAAGGGAAAATTAACCAATATTTCAAAAATCTTCTTTTCAAGATCCAGATATGGTAGAATCAAATACTCTTCATAGATGGAGGGGTCTTAAGGTGCTTTGTTTAAATTGTAAATTTTATTATTCCTCGGGCCATCCGCTCTCCTTTGGGGAGGGGGTAACATTTACTATACATGTAGTTTATATATGGAAATAACACTTTTGGGTATATTTTGTCCATTTTCAGCAGAATATTCAAACGTGGTTGGAGCGATTATGATACCAGATGACAATTAGATAATAAGAGAAAAAAGGTGGGACCAAAATGGGGATTATGGTACAAAAATAAAATAAATCTTAATAAGACTCGGTTACCTTGTTACCGTTACCTTAATTATAGATTTCATTATCCCCCCCCAAACGACTTCTTCTGTAGAGCTATGCACTGGATATCAATCATATTTAATCAAAAGCATATATGGGAGGCAGGGATTCAAAAGTGTACAAATGGTGTGGCTGACAACCCCCACAGCTTGGAAACAGTTGAGATCCCTACCCTATAACCATATATACAATTGCTGAGTATAAAGAGATGAATGCACATATGCTTCCAGGATGGCCTTGGGGACTGTCCCACCCTTAGAGACTTGACCCCTGGGTCATAAATTCGAAATGGTTAAGATCCTCACCCCAAAACTATATACACCATTGTTGGGCATAAAGAGACGAATGCAGTCATGATATTGGAATTGACCCCAGGTTCTGCCTCACCCTTGCAGATTTAACCCCTGGGTCATAACTTTGAAAAGGTTGAGATCCACACCCCAATTTCACATGGCAGCGGGGGCATTTATGTCTTACAGACATTTTCTAGTCTCTTACATATGTCACAATATGTGAATGCGAGGGGATTTGTATCACTATTGATAATCCTCTCAATTGTGCAGTATTAGTATTGAGACCAATTGGAGGAACATGATGGCTGCCAAATTTGATTTTGTCATTTAAAAATCAGAAAAACAAGATTGCTACCAGGCAGGTATCTTTAATTCAGATTTGTTATTGCCATTTTCTTTGCTCTAAACTGCTTGATCAAAAGTGAATATGGCTACCAGTTTTTTGAACAGAGGGCAAATGGCAACTAAAGTTTAAATGGTCATGAAGTTTTAATCCAAATTTAAGTTACCACATGATATTGGCAAGACTATCAGTCCAACAGATAAGATAAAACAAGTGAAAGAAATCAAACTTGCATAGATTTTATGATGGTTGACTACCTATCCCCACCCCAGCTAGTTCATACTGTTTGTTGGTAAGATCTTGTTCCTATTGTACTTAATCTGATCCGCTATACCCCGTTATTATGTCCCTGACTTTCATAAGGTCAAATATCTTTTTGCTTATATCTGATAGCCTGAAACTGATGAGGATTCTTTATAAACTAAAAAAATGCTTGAAAAGAAATGGATGTACATTTGTTAATAAGTATCAAGAAACTTTTCATTCCATGGTGTAAAATGAAATGTTCACACTTGCATTGATGTAAACAATATTTTCCTGTCAACAGATGGATCAATCTGCATGGTCTTACAATACATCTTTTTCTTCCAGATTTATGAGAATGGCAAACCAAGCTTTTTCATCGATGCCTTTGATAAAACCAAGCTAGTTGGATGAGATATGTAAATTGTGCGAGGAATGGAGATGAGCAGAACATGACGGCCTCAACACAGGGGCCAAATATACAACAGGACACACAAGGATATCAACCCAGATACTGAGCTGCTCGTGTGGTAAGGAGAGGACTACAGCGAGGAGCTTGGCATCAGAAGAGGGGAGGACTCAACGGAACTGAAACCATTCACTGTTAATAGAACCAGTAAGATAGAAAAATATTTTGAAATTTATTTGATGATTCAAATATTTCATGAAAACTGGGTTTAAACATGGATAGGATCTGAGAAATCACATTTTGACAGTAATTTTCAAAACTTTTAAATGACCCTGGCATCATGAAACTAAGTAACAACTTGCATGTTGATGTGCTGCCATTCACAGCATATAAACAAAAAGGGTCTTTATACAGATTAAATTTAACTCGCCTTTTATATAGTCTTTTTCCTGGTTTGTGAATTGTCATAGTTGATGTGTCTGCAAAGTGTGATTTTGGTAGAATGCAGGTATTTGAAATGCAATTCATGTTAAAAAGGTTATCAAATAGTTCTCACTCTTTTTTCCCCCCAGAAATGTTCAGGTGTCCCTTTTGTTGAAGTTGTTTCAGTTCTGAAGTTGGCGTACTTGGACACAGCAAAAAAAAAGCATGGAGTCTCTCGGTTCACTATTGACCTAGCCTGGAAAATGTTGGAGAAAGTGAAGAGAGATAATGATAGAAAGGAATTTATATTGCATACCAAAAAAGTCTTGCTGTTTAAGAATGAATGTCAAAAAAGCATAAAAAATGGACAATTCAAAAAGAAAATGAATGAAAATGTCAATATGGATGGGAGACAGAGTAACTACACAAATTGTCGAAGGAATATCTCAAGCAAGGGAACAGAACATTTATACAAATGTGATGTCTGTGGTAAGGGGTTTAGTCGGGTACCTCACCTACAGTCACACCTCAGGACACATACAGGAGAGAAGCCCTACAAATGTGAAGTCTGTGGTTAGGGGTTTAGTGTGGCATGTAGTCTACAGAAACACCTCAGGACACATACAGGAGAGAAGCCCTTCAAATGTGATGTCTGTGGTAAGGGGTTTAGTGTGGCATCTAACCTACGTTCACACCTCAGGACACATACAGGAGGGAAGCCCTATACATGTGATGTCTGTGGTAAGGGGTTTAGTGTGGCATCCAACCTACAGTCACACCTCAGGACACATACAGGAGAGAAGGCCTACAAATGTGATGTCTGTGGCAAGAGGTTTAGTTTGGCACATCACCTACAGTCACACCTTAGGGCACATACAGGAGAGAAGCCCTACACATGTGATGTCTGTGGTAAGGGGTTGAGTCGGGCAGATATCCTACAGAAACACCTCAGGACACATACAGGAGAGAAGCCCTACAAATGTGATGTTTGTGATAAGAGGTTTAGTCAGGCATCTAGCCAACAGAAACACCTCAGGACACATACAGGAGAGAAGCCATACAAATGTAAGATCTGTGGTAAGGGGTTTAGTGTGGCGCATCACCTACAGACACACATCAGGACACATACAGGAGAGAAGCCATACAAATGTGATGTGTGTGATAAGGGGTTTAGTGAGGCAGGTAGTCTACAGAAACACATCAGGACACATACAGGAGAGAAGCCCTACAAATGTGAAGTCTGTGGTAACGGTTTTAGTGTGGCATGTAGTCTACAGAAACACATCAGGACACATACAGGAGAGAAACCTTACAAATGTGATGTCTGTGGTAAGGGGTTTAGTATGGCATCTAACCTACAGTCACACCTCAGGACACATACAGGAGAGAAACCCTACACATGTGATGTCTGTGGTAAGGGGTTTAGTGTGGCATCTAACCTACAGTCACACCTCAGGACACATACAGGAGAGAAGCCCTACAAAGGTGATGTCTGTGGTAAGTGGTTAAGTGTAACATCAAGCCTACAGACACACATCAGGACACATACAGGAGAGAAGCCATACCAATGTGATGTCTGTGGTAAGGGGTTTAGTTGGACAGACATCCTACAGTCACACCTCAGGACACATACAGGAGAGAAACCCTACACATGTGATGTCTGTGGTAAGGGGTTTAGTGTGGCATCTAACCTACAGTCACACCTCAGGACACATACAGGAGAGAAACCTTACAAATGTGATGTGTGTGGTAAGGGGTTTAGTCAGGCACCTCACCTACAGTCACACATCAAGACACATACAGGAGAGAAGCCCTACAAATGTGATGTCTGTGGTAAGGGGTTTAGTGTGGCATCTAACCTACAGTCACACCTCACGCCACATACAGGAGAGAAACCTTACACATGTGATGTGTGTGGTAAGGGGTTTGGTCAGGCACCTTACCTACAGTCACACATCAAGACACATACAGGAGAGAAACCTTACAAATGTGATGTGTGTGGTAAGGGGTTTAGTATGGCATGTAACTTACAGTCACACCTCAGGACACATACAGGAGAGAAGCCCTACAAATGTGATGTCTGTGGTAAGGGGTTTAGTCAGGCACCTTACCTACAGTCACACATCAAGACACATACAGGAGAGAAGCCTTACAAATGTGATGTCTGTGGTAAGGGGTTTAGTGTGGCCTCTAGCATACAGACACACATCAGGACATATACAGGAGAGAAGCCCTACACATGTGATGTTTGTGGTAAGGGGTTTAAAAATGCATGTAACTTGAAATCCCACCAGAGATATCGTAGAGAAAAGAATTGCTGTTGAGATTGTATAATTGTTTATCTGTATAACATCCTTTATAACTCTTTTTTACTGTATTATATATAAATAACAATATTGGAACTTTATGCTTACAATGTTCTGTAATGAATACATACCTAATTAATTATTTATAATACAGTTTGAGACTCTCGAGATCTCTATATTTATTTCATCCGTGCCTGATTTACACACCTAAAGCACTGAAATAATGTATGTCAATTGCATCAGTAAATATTAGGAAATAAACATGTACGTATGCTTGCTGCATATCAAGACAATTACAGGAAGTGATAGCCTAAAAATAAATTAATACTTTATATGTAATCACTATAGAGAAAAGGGATTAAGCAGGGCCTCTCTCTTGGAAATTCAGTCATCATTATTATGCTTTTCATATTTATTTCATTTAAGATTCTGATTTAAGTATTAATCAAAGTGTATGCAAAGATATTCTGTGAGATACCTGACCATATTCGCTTATAAATAAAAAGTATAGAATATTTGGATGATGAGATAAAAAATCATGCTGCCATTTGCCAACTTTTCAAAATGTCCATGGGGGAGATTAGGCGTGCTCAGAATCAATAGCATAAATATAGTGTATGTATGTAAACCCGAATGAACTTGCATTGCGAACATTTTGTTATCTTTTCTCCAAAGAGTAACTTATGTAGGACATTAAACCGAAAGGGTTCTGTTTACTATACACCCGTTTTGGCAACAGAAGTGTCCGTTCCCAATAGGTCATTTGTCAGTGTAACAGATACGTGATCAAGTACTTTTTCAAAACAAAATGTTTTTCTTCATGTTGACCATAATCGCGATTTCAAGATAGACTGGGTCATAAAAACACATTTCTGCTGCAAATGCTAACACGTTTTTCTGATCGTTTATTAAAATAGTCATTTTGTCCCGAACGAAAATCATTTAAAACCAATGTGTTCAAAATGATTTATTTCATTCTTTGAACTAAAAACTTTTGCATAATATTCATGGGTTTAGTTATAGAGAGAAAAAAACATTCGTTTTTCAGCAACACAACAAAGATACTACCTCGCCTGTATCTCTTTAAAATTGAGTATCATATTGTGACGTAAATATTACCTTGTTAGCCAGAAATACAAATCAAATTTTACAGTAATTCAATTGAAAGGATGTGTTATTTGTACTTATTTTGATTAACTTCTATTTGTTTTATATTTGAGACGAAATAAATCATTTATGATGTGTTGCATTAAAACAAGAACATGATTTGTTCTTGTAATGTATCTGTTCACACAATTTGAACAAGTAACTTTATAACAAACTTTTTTTTTTTTTATTGAAAACAGTTTCACAAAAGCTCCAGACGTAATAAAACATCAAGCGGCTTTAACTTGTACTGTCATTTTTTTTTACACTAGTGTATATGTCACTTTTTCAGCCGATACTCCCATTCAAAACTTAAACAGATACGTTACCATTTCAAACAGATACGTTATACATTATATTGGTCAAGCTGCTTCTTAACATTATCACTAAAACAAGATTTAAATCAATGTAATTATCACTTGTGATCAAATGTTCACAAATTTAAGCCAAGTCGATTTTATTTGCGGGAATAATGCACCGAAACAAAAACGTGACCAAAGTGAACTTATTCGTTACATGATTTCCAAGTGATGTGATCCTTTATTTCACATATCTCAACCTTTTCTATCATAGCTTTTCACTAATAAATCCTTTAAAATTTATTTACAGTAGTGTAATTTATTTGAACATCTACAATAACGTACACAAATTAACCATTATTATATATGCATTCATGCTTCTGGTTATCCTAAGATTTTAAGATATTCCCCTTGGAAACTAAGCCAGCTGACGAGTACAGTTTGTAGAAGGTTTGACTACATTGTTTAGTTAAAAATATCACGAAACCAAACCAGGGTCTAGAGTATCTTTGTGCTAGAAGCAACGATTAAATAGAACCATTTACAACGTATATTAGTGTAGGGTATCACGTGACTGTTTGTGAATCCACGAATTTTGAATCTGGTAGTTTTGAAGCGGCAGGAGGAGGAAAAGACTGTAAGACAGTAAGATGAAAGAGCAATGTCAAACCGGAAACAATTTGTCATATGTTCATGGTTAAACGACCTGTCATTCCATGGTGGTTTTTCAAACATTCGGAGAAACTGTCGATTTTATGTCGGCGATTTGTTGTGATGTTTCCCATGAATAAACTTTACTCTTTATATTACCACTAATAACCCCGTAGTTATGATCCTATATGCAGATGTTTGGCCACGTTTACGATTTTAGATAAAATTTTGATCACAAAACTTCATTTCCATTTCCTGTGTGATTGTTTTAGATGATGAGGTCCAACGCAAGTTTAAGAGTGAATTTAATGTGATGAGTGACCACATATAAATATAGATTATCACACTTTATTTTCAGGTTTGTCTTGAGAACAATTTTTTTCATCGCGAGCACGTGGATAAAATTGAGAGGAAGGCCTCTCAATTTTATCTACGTTCGAGCGATGAGAAAATTGTTCTCACGACAAACCCTGAAAATACTGTGCGATAAACTGTTTATCATCTATATACTACAACCTTATATATTACTCAATTGAAAAAAAAAATGAAATCAAAGTTTTCCAAATGACTTAAGTTTTGGACAACGATCACAAATCCGCGGTCTGTGTCAAACGTAAAGAAATAGAAAATTTGGGCGGAGGAATATATTGAACCTTAAAACTTGATTTGTTGATGACGGACTGTTTTCTTACGTGGATCACTTGGTGTGGACATCACTTCCGGTTTAGGACGGCACTTGGTGCGATTCTTTTACGTTCCTTAATGCTGGGAAATGCGAAAAATCCGTTCTCAAGTCGTTCTCAACTTCTTGAGTATTCTCATAATGACAACACATGATAATGAATTTATCATGCTACCGGTAGGTGGTATAAAGTAGTATATAGATGATTATGTGTAATATCAGTATTTTACTCTATCATTATCTATTCGTAACACCATTTATTTCTGTGTGAATCATGAACGAGACATTAGTCACCACTGTGTAGGACCGACACCGGATATAGCTATTACCAAAACGGGCATGGACACTAATGGGCGCAGTCAAGTCACGGTAAGTTTTCCGATTGTTCTGGTAACGTAGAGACACATAAAGGAGCAAAACAGATGAACAATGGTGTTTGTGATGCAGATATTGTGTAAACTATTTCATGCGATCTAAAGATATTGGTAAAAAATGACTACGAAGTACCGATACAGTATCATTTACAAAGAAAGAAGAGATAACTATTAACGTATGAAATATACGATAGTGAAACGGACGTAACTGGCACATGTAAATGATACCGGGATAAACACATAATGGGTCATGTGTCTAAATTTCGTCATTACGATGTAACTGACTTAAATTAATTTTCGTCTGTACGGCGAATAGATGTTGATGCATTGCCAAGTGTACGGCAACTAGCATTTTGACAGTACGGCGAATAGCTATGCTAACATAACAATGTTTAGAGCGAGCAACTTAAGCTTTGACCTTGACAATAGCGATGGAGTGTTCGAAGTTTAGCTGTGACCTTGACAATTGGGGTGGAGAGTTGGAACTATAGCTGTGACTTTGACAATAGGGGTGGAGAGATGGAACTTCAGCTGTGACCTTGATAAAAGGGGTGGAGAGTTGGACCTTAAGCTATGGCCTTGACATGGGGGTGGAAAGTTGGAACTTGAGCTGTCACCTTGACATGTGGGTGAAGGATTGGAACTTCAGCTTTGACCTTGACAATAGGGTTGGAGTGTTGGAACTTTAGCTGTGACCTTGGCAATATAGTTGGTGAGTTGTTACTTAAGCTGTGACCTTGACAATAGGTTGGATAGTTGGAACATAGGCGTAAGGTGACATACTTTTTCCTTGTCACAACATGATACATACACCTATCATTGTTAATATACAAGGAGGAGGGGTTACACAAGAAATTTTAATGATGATGTAGAGAAAATCTGCACTGATATTTTACAACCCTTAAATTTTGAGGGGTGAAAACAGACACACAGATATTTTGTTTGGCCTGTCATTTTAGTCTATAGAACAGGTAAACTAGTGGTTATCAAACTTGCTTACCCATGGTTCGCAAAGGTCTTGAAAAACCCTTGAATTTGATGTCTGTCTTGAAAAACCTTGAAAATCAATGGGAGTCCTTGAAAAACCCTTGAAAATCAGAGAAGTTAGTTGGGTATCCGTTTCTGTCATGTAACTGTAAAAATTCGTCGTAATAAAATAATTGTTTTTAACACAGATTGATCGTCAAATTGCAGATCGTATACATAACTTTTAATAATTCCAGAAAATATATACCGATGTAGTTTCCGGTTTTACTTTTTCAATTCGTATCATTACTGCGTTTGAATTAAGTAAGTCTCGTAGTCAAAGCGCCATACAGTCATGCGCATTAAGAGTATTGTTAACAGGAGGGGAACACGAATGCAGCAACTTCGATGGGGAAGTGTGTTTTTAACCGCAAATGGCTTGACGATCCCATATTTTTGGGTGAGGGAGTTCAAGGGTGATAGGACTTCTGATTTGTGCTCGCTGTGTAACAATTATCGATCTGGGCAAGATTGGGGATCCCAGATAATTTTGTACATCACGTATGAAAAGTCAAAAACACGTGAAAAATGTTCGGGGACCTCTTCGACTCGGCCTTTGACACTTTTATACCAAACCCTCTACTTCAGCGGCAAGTATATCAAGACCTACTTCGACTATTCCTAATCCGTACACGGATGTCGATCAATTTCCTTCAATACCAGCCCCTCAATGCCTTGTTGTTCATTAAAATTGTTTGTTTATTTTGCGATATAAATGAGCTCTTGAATTTTCAAAATTTGTCTTGGAAAAACCCTTGAAAAGTCCTTAAATTTTGAGGTCAAAAAGTTTGTATGAACCATGTAACCTGTACTACTGTATTAAGGATGTACTCCTCTGAG